TGGCCTTTGCCATTCGTAGGTGCTGCGGTTACCACCTATGATTACTATGGTTACTGGCCACGACTACTGCGGTTATTTCACATGATTGCTACGGTTACCACTTACCACTTACAAGGGTAATGACCCTAGTAGCCCTGACCTTTGCCATTCGCAACTCCAGTGGTCATTACTCACGCCTATATAAGCCTGCATCTCATATTACGTTCTTTTGTTTTCCTTCTGAGCGTTGTGCAGCGATTGCATTTCTTTGACTCTCAGCATCTCAAATGCATTTCTCCATCTTCTTTCTAGTTCATCTTTCTCAACAGGTATTTCGCTCATCCTCTATTTTTTATTGCTTCTGTTTTGAGATGCCTGCGTTTGGTCATCTACCCCCGAGCGTGCTTTTTCAATATGTATTGTTTGCCATGTATACGCCATTTCGTTGATTTTCTTTTGTTTCCTCATTACACCCACAGTCTGCACTTTCAAGGGTTGTGTATTGCTTCCCTTCTATCATTTTGGTGTTTATCACCTTATCTTCCTCGTCCCCCCCTTTGCCATTTGAAATGTTAGCGTCATTTAGTTTTTTAACGTAATGAGGGGGGAAAACCCTCCTTCTTCAGCTTTGTTTCGTAAGGGGGAGAAGGAGGAAGATTCTGAATTTTTGAAAAAGATTTCCCCTGGTGCTCGTTTCTGGCTTTGGGGTATTCCAAGGACCGAAGAGGAAGAACGTGAAGCCATGCTTCGAGGTTGCCAAGGTGGTAGATCTCGGGGGAGGCCTGGGTTGTCTAGTAGGGAGTTAGGGCCTTCCCGAGGTAGAGGTTCTTCCCACCGGGGTAGGGGTCGTCTTATTTTAAATAGACATTCTTCCACTCAACTTCCCCAACCTGGTTCTTCGTCTACCACCCGGAATTCTCCTCATTCTTCCCCTCTCTCTAGGAGTGTTCCTTGTTATTCTTATGTCTACTTGAGTTTCAAGCTCATCGAGCAAGGATGTGACTCATTGGCCGAGTCTACTTTGGCTAGTTGCCGACATGTAGATATACTGGAATCTACTTCCGCATCTGGTGGAGCAGATGATCCCATTATGATCTTCGAATTTCTGACTTCGTCATCTTCTACTGATTCTTCTGATAGGATTTTTGATTCAGGTATGCCCCCTTCTCTTCTTCTGATCGAGTTCTTTTCTTTGTTTTAGGTTTTATGGCATCTCCTCCTCCAGAGGTAGTAGAAGAGTCGAGTTCTACTGAATCATACCCCCCACGTCCATCCACCTCTTTAATATCCCAGTTTCCCTGGGTCACTTATGAGGTTTTAAACACTACTTCCGAGATGGGTCCAGATGACGTGGTGGGTCTTCTTGTTGGGAAGTTAGAGGATTATGACATAGTCCCCCCACAGGAGGACGAACCAGTTTGTTCTAGTGGGAGTTTAGGAGAGCCCCCTTTCTTTTTCTTTTACCGAGATGTCATAACTCAACTTGGCATCTGGTTTCCTTTAACTGAGTTTCAAATTGATCTTCTAAATCACCTTCAGATAGCCCCTACTCAACTTCACCCCAATGGTTGGGGTTTTATCAAGGGTTTTAAGCGTTTTTGCGCATATCTTACTTTTCCAGCTTCTGTCTATGTTTTCTTTTTCTTCTTTCAAGTGCTTACTCCTTGAATCGGTCGTGAACCTGCGGAACGAAAAGGTTGGATTACCATTCGAGGTATCCCTGGTCGCAAACTTTTCTGGGTTTACACTGATTCTTTAAAGAACTTTAAAGACTAGTTCTTTAAAGTTTCTGCACATGCCGACAAGAGCGTATGGTTTGCTGATAATTGTAATACCGAGGATGTAGAGGGAAAATTTCCCTTACACTGGTCATTTGACCATTACCAACTTCCTCCTTCGAGCTACCGCTTCAAAGAGTCTCAATTGAGCCCTTCTGATGTTGACAGCACCATGCTATTGGTACATATCTCCAATCGGATAAGCATGCTAGTGTCGCATCCCTTCTTTTCAAGTCCCAGGAGGATCTTGATGTTGAACTGAGTATGGATCATCTTGCCCCAACACATATTCATTATTTTGCATTTGATGAATATATGTTATTGTTTCTTTTTTATAGTACCCAGTATGGAGAACCAACAAAATGAGCCGCCAAGCTGGTTGTTAGTTTTGAATCAATCTAAGGCTACCTCTGCTAGGTTGCCCAAGAAAAGGAAAGCTTCTGAGCTTTCGAAAGATGACCTCGACAAACCCAAGGGCACTTCGGCTGTCAAAGGAACTGCTACTGCGGGAAGCACCAAGGACAAGGTGGGCACTGCTGATGCGCCCGTGCTTCTGCTTCTACTCAGCAAGCCATGAAAGCTCCTCCTCCTCCTCCTGCACCCAAGTTTGTGAAGCACGTAGTGTGGTAGAGCGAAATGAACAGCACTCTCTGAGATGCGATATGTGCTCCTGAGCCCTTCTACAACTCCTCCGCTCTTACCGCTGCTCAGATTAGGGAGGTAGAGGAGTTAGAACTTTGTTGTATGAAGATGGCCGAGTTAGCGAGGCCTTTGCTGACTCTTAAGCAGAAGTATCTTCTATCTTTGAATGAGGCTTCTGCATCCCGGGAGGAGAAGGGCAAGACGTATATCAAGCTTCTGAAGGTGAAGAATGATTTGTCCTCTCTGAAGGAGAAGTATAACCAAACTGTTGCCACGCTGGTAAAGGTCAAAGCAGATTTCAGAAAGTTTCGAGACGAGCAAGCTGCTGAAGCCGTCAGGATGAAGGATTTTCGGATTATGTATGAAAGAATAGAGGAGAGGGTGAAGGAAGCTGAGGGTAATGCACAACTTTACCGGGGTGAACTTGAGAAGTCGATCACCGGCTCCTTCTATAATGCCCTTAATCAACTCTAGGTACTTAATCCGAATGTGCCTTTGAATATAATTGGCTTAAATGCTCGTGCATATGTCAGCAACGGTCAAATCATTCCACCTCTTGTTGCCTCTCCCACTGGTGATTCGGTTACTCAATATGAGAGAGAAGATCATGCCGTTGAGGATGGTGAAGAGGCAGCCAACCAATCTGCAAAGGAGATCACGACGTCTGAAGAGCCTCCTGCTGGCAAAACTCAATGAAGAAGGTCCGGGATACCGGTTACCTTTGTAATTTCCAGTTCTATCTGGGGTTTTGAAGCCCCTTTTTGATTTGTAATGAATATTGTCGGTTTTACTCCGGTTTGTATTTGCTCGTTGAGCTTTTCTTATCTTCTCATATTCCGCCTTATGATTTGATGTCTTGCCTTTCTTATTTTTCTGAATTTTCCCGTAGACGCATTATCTAGGTATCTGGTTTTCATAGTTTGCCGTACTTTCCTTGAGCATTCATTGAACACTTCTAAAGATTTAGCATGACATTGTTTTATGACAAGTGGGCTTGTGCCTTTATCATCTAAGTTCATAACTTAGGCAATTTTCATGTATTTCAAACCTTATCAGAGTTGGTTTCATCTTGGTTGGATTTCAACTCGGGTAGATTTTACTTTTTTAACTCGTGCTTTATCGAGTTCTGTGTTAAGTTTTATCTGAGTTTTATCCAACATTTATTGGCAATTTTTTCAACTTGGATAAATTTATTAAACCCGTGCATTTTACGAGTTTTATATTCTTGACCTGGCTGAGGTCAAAGCATTGTACGGTTTTTGCTTTCTGTCATTTTCCATACGCATGTTTATTTTGACTTAACCGTTTTGGTAAGCCTGTATTAACAATGGATCTAGTCTTTTTCTGACTTAACCATTTGCTATAATTTGAATTTTGTAATTCAACTTTATCTAAGGTAAAGACAACACTGTCACCTATCCCTTTTGGTTGTTAGACCAAAATAAGGAGCATTTTGACTTGATCAGAGTCATTATGATAAATTGTGCTTGTACCTCGGATTTCATATTGATGCATCGAAAATAGACAAGGACAAATCTTTAAAAAGAAAAATTCCTCATTTATTGATATCAAATTATTTGCTACATGAATTTGCCGGCATATTCGGCTTTAGTCAAATCCCTAATAGAGGAAAAAACTTCATCTAACAAACTTTGAAGAAATTGAAATATTGAAATATTTAGAAGGCGGATTCCAGATTTAGCTGTAGTATATCTTCAGCTTATCCACATTTTAGGTCCTCTTAATTTCTTTGCCTTCCACTGTTTCTAGGATACAGGCTCTTTTTCCAAGCTTTTCTTTAATTCGGTATGGTCCTTTCCAGTTTGCAGCTAACTTTCCATCTCTGGCATTTTTATTTACAATATCCGCTCTCCTGAGTATCAAATCACTTTTCTTAAAGATTCTTGGCCTCACTTTTTTGTTATACCTGGCTGCCATTTGCTGCTTAGCCATCATGTCCCGGCAGTGAGCTGTAATCCGAGCTTCGTCAGCAAGGTCTAACTCGGCAGTGAGTAGCTTGTTGTTCTGCTGCTCGCCTTGCTCGATACTATTCATCCTCCTCCACGAAGGTTCTCCAATTTCTACCGGGATCATGGCTTCGCAGCCATATGTCAGTCGAAAAAGGGTTTCCCCTGATGCGGTTTGGGTACTCGTTCTGTATCCTCAAAGGACAAAGTATAGCTGCTGAACCTAGCTTTCTTCGGCATCAAACATCTATTTTTTGAGACCTTCCACAATTAATTTTTTCGCTGCTTCAGCTTGTCCATTCGACTGTGGGTGCTCCACAGATGTGAAGCGATGTTTGACTTGTAAGTCTTTCATCAATTGTTGGAACCTTTTATCACAAACTGCGTTCCATTATCAGCTACCACCTCGGCCGGTATTCCAAACCTGGAGACAATATTCTGTTCAAAGAACCTTTGTACTCTAGTCGAAGTGATGGTGGTAACCGGTTCTGCTTCTATCCATTTTGTGAAGTAATCCACAGCTACAATCAACCACTTTAATTATCCTTCAGCAGCTTTGAAAGGTCCCAGCAAATCCATTCCCCATTTGAAAAAAGGGCTATGGAGCCAAGATATATTTCAGTTCTTCAGGTGGTCAAAGAATCTGCTTGGCGTTCTTCTGGTAACTGTCACATCTCTTGACATGTTCATTAGAATCTGCCTCCATAGTCGGCCAGTAATAACCGGCTTGAAGGGCCTTTCTAGTCAAAGCTTTGCCTCCCATGTGATGTCCATTTATTCCTTCATGTATCTCGGCTAGAACATATTCTGCTTCTTCCGAGTTCAAACATTTCAGCATGGGAATGTGCAACCCCTTTCTAAACAGCTGATCGTTCACAATTGTGTATTGTGTCGCATCTCGGACCAGCTTCTTGGATTCCAGTTGATCCTCCGACAATGTTCCTTTCTCAAGGTATGCCATTGTGGGTTGTCTCCAGTCATTTGCCGAGGTCATGATCATCATCCAACTCGGCATACTTATACTCTGTTGTACCACAATTCTGTGATTACCTGGATTTTTGGTACTTGCCAATTTAGACAAGATATCAGCTCGGCAATTTTCCCCTCGAGGAATATGAGTAACTTGCACTTCATCGAAGTCGGCCATCATCTTTTGAACCTTGCTCAGGTATTTCATCAGTAGCGGACCTTTGGCCTGATACTTTCCTTCTATCTGCGAAGTTACCAATTATGAGTCACTGAAGATTTTTACCTTCTTAGCTCCATGTTCTTTAGCCTGCATTAATCCAGCTATCAAAGCTTCATACTCTACTTGATTGTTCCAAGTTAGGAATCCCAAGTTCAAGGAGTGTTTTATTGTCACTCCTTCTGGGCTTTCGAGTATGATTCCAGCTCCACTTCCTTTATCGTTGGAAGATCCATCTACGTAGACCTTCCATGCATCCCCAGATTCTTTATGTTCCGGGTTCACTAGTGTTTGCTCCACTATAAAGTCGGCCAGAGCTTGTGACTTGATGGCCTTTCGACTTTCATATGCTATGTCATATTCACTGAGCTCAATTTCCCAGTTAGTCATTCTTCCTGCCAGGTCTGGCTTGTGTAACACCTGCCGTATAGGTTGATTAGTCCGAACTATTATTTGATGTCCCTGGAAATATGGCCATAATCTTCTAGCCGCGATTAGCAAAGCAAAGGCCACCTTTTCTAGCTTATGATATCTGACCTCTGCACCTTGCAAGGCTCTGCTGATGAAATAAATTGGCTCTTGGCCTTTATCAGTTTCCTTGACCAGGACAGCACTTATTGCCTCTTCCCCCACAGCCAGGTACATGATCAGAGTATCTCCTGGTTCTGGCTTTGAGAGTACTGGTGGGGTTGCCAAACATTTCTTGACTTTCTCAAATGCGGCTTGACATTCCGGATTCCAATCTTCCACTGCTTCTTATTTTAGCAATTTAAAGAATGGGAGAGCATTTTCAGCAAATTTTGGTAAAAACCGGGTTAGTGCAGCTATTCTACCTATTAGCTGCTGAACCTCTTTTTTATTCTGGGGCACCTTCATGTCAAGCATTGCTTTGCAGTTGTCGGGGTTAGCTTTAATCCCTCTATGGGTTAGCATAAAGCCCAAGAATTTCCCAGTTGGGACTCACAACGCACATTTTACCGGGTTTAGACGGATGCGATACTTCCTGAGCTTCTGAAAATTCTACTCAAGATCTTGGACATGACTTGTCATATTGAATGACTTTACAATCATATCATCAATATATACTTCTACATTTTTGCCTAGATGATCTTTAAATACTTTATTCATCATTCTTTGAAGAGTTGCCCCTGAATTTTTAAGCCCAAACGACATCACATTATAACAGTAATTAGCCTTTTCAGCAATAAAGGCGGTTTTCTTTTGGTCCCCTGGGTACATTGGAATCTGGTTGTAACCAGAGTAGGCATCCATAAAAGACAACAGTCGAAATCCAGCCGAATTATCTAGCAGCTGGTCTATATTAGGAATGGGGTAAGAGTCTTTTGGGCAGACCTTGTTCACGTCAGTGTAATCAGTACAGACTCTCCATTTCCTGTTTGGTTTCTTCACCATCACCATGTTCGCAAGCCACGTTATGTACTATATTTCCCGAATGAAACCAGCATCCAGCAACTCCTTCACGTGTTCCTCCAAGACTTGTTTCCTTTCTGGTCCTAACTTCCTTTTCTTTTGAGAGACCGGCTTGGATCCTGGATAAACTGCCAGCTAGTGGCAACAGAAGGCGGGATCTATGCTTGGGATTTCTGATGACTTCCAGCCTTCCAGGCAAATACATCTGTGTTGCTCTTAAGGAACCCGACTAACTCTTCTTTGATTTGAGGATCGATGGTCTTACCAATTTGGGTAAATTGACCCGGTTCTTCCCCTAATGCGAGGTTTTCTAACTCTCCATCGGGCTCAGGCCTCGGGATTGTTTCTTTTCTCATGTCGAGTTCAACCACATTAACAGACTTCCTTGAATGGTGAGGAATTATGTTCTTGCCGAGTTTATCCCCTGGATGAATTCGGGGAGGGCTCGAATGTCCGCCTTCGTTTTCTTTGACGATGTCAAAATAGTATCCTCTGGATTCCTTTTGATCTCCACAAATAGTAATTATTTCATTCTTACTGCTTACCATTTTTATTTTTTGGTGCTTTATAGAAACCAGCATGTCCCATTGGTGTATGGTTGGTCTTCCCAGAATTATATTATATTCTGACGGGAAGTCTGCCACTATGAAGAATCTGACTCGTTCTGATTTGAACGCTTCTTTAGTCCCCAGGGTCAACCTGAGGTCTATATAGCCTTTAGGAGGTGTATGCTCTCCATTAAAAGCTATCAAGGTCATTTTGCAAGGTTTGAGATCCTCCTCATCAAGGTTCATCTTTTTTAAGGCATCCCACAGTATAATGTCGGCACTACTTCCTGCGTCGACGAAGATCTTCTTAACTTGGCAGTTTACCAATGTTCCAGCAATGACCAACTTGTCTACGTGTCCTGGAAGAACACCATGCATGTCTTCCTTTGTGAAATACAGTAGAGGAGGGTTTGGTGTGCTTAGATCTTCCTTGAATTCAGGACAATCCCGAATGGAGAGAACTTCCTTCAAATATTTTTGTCTAGCACTCACAGTTTCTCCTCCTCCTCCAAGGGCTCCACTAATTACATTGCAGTCAAATTCCGCCTCTTGGAACTCATCATGATTGGAATCATCTTTCTAGTTCCTTTCAACCTTTTTTTTATCTTTTCAGGAACCGGACTTTTGCTTATCTTTTTGTTTCCCGACTTCCTTTTGTTATTTTTGGAGCCCTGCGTCTTGATCACATACTGGCGTAATCTTCCATCTCTAACAAATTTCTCCACAGCATCTCGGAGATCCTAGCATTGGTTAGTAGTGTGACCCGGTCCATCATGAAAGGCACAGTACTTGGACTTGTCTGAACCTCCTCTGTCAAATATGTGCCAGGGTCTTTCTACTTTCTTCATCTCCGGTGTCATTGCCACTTCCCTCTAGATTTGAGAGCGTGGTGCATTCAACGGTATGTATTTGTCATATCTTCCAACTCGATCTCGGCCATCCGGGATTCTGGCGCTTGAGTCTTTTTTCTTATTATCAACTCATTCCTTTCCTTTCGGGCCAGGCTTCTCCTTCTCGGGCTAACTCTTTTACCTTCTTCATATTGCGCATTTGCAACCTCCATTTGCTCGAGTTTGAGGTATTTCTTTGAACAGGTTCTGAATTCTTCCAAAGTTTTCACTGGGTCCTTATACACCAACTTGACTAGCCTTGATGCTCCATCCAAGCCAGCCACAATGAGATGTACGTGGACATTTTCTTGTAAACCCGGCACCTGCAATGCAGCGTCCTTGAACCGATTGAGGTATCTCTGGAGGATTTCTTCGGGTTGTTGTAACACCCCATTACCGGACCAGTGTGTTATCATCAAAAATGATATTAAGCGCAGTTACAATCACAACGTTTATTTGTAATTACGGGAAAACTTTTTCTTTTTAATATCGTTTGTACCTTTGAAATAATTGTGATCATAACTCAAAACTTATAGCGAAATTATGAATACATTAGCTCAATATAACTCATTTTACATTTGAAGGTCGTTAAGTGGTCCCCATAAACCAACAAAGCTAAAAACTCATTCTATCCATGTTTAACACTAAATGCCTTCTCCTTTTTATTTACTCTAACAATTTTATACCTCTCAATTGCTTCTCATTCTTTAATATGTTATAGATTTCTTTGTTAGCTTCGCGTGGGTTCAAATTGCGCTCAATTTGAAGCACCGTAGCCCAGGTTATGACTTTTATAAGAAAATGGATGCTGAAATCTCCAAGACTCCTACGCTCATAGCGTCAGTCTCACGCTCACAGCGACAAAATGCCCCAGGAGGCAGAGAGAGGTTGGCGCCCATAGCGTCAGATTCACGCCCATAGCGTCAATGCTACGACCTCCCCCTGATGGTTGGCGCTAATTGTAACAGCCCGTTGTACACCGGTATTGTTAACATTAATATGATATTAAGCGCAGTTACAATCACAGCAATTCATTTATTAAAATACGAATAAACTTTTTCCGATTATTACGCGAGCATTTAAAACAATAAAAATCATAATAATTAAAAGCTGTGACTATAACTGTTAACTCTTGCAGAATATTTATTTTAACTATTTTTACATTACACTTTACTCAATATAAGTTACTAAGGGGTTCCCATAAACCCACTTAGCCAATTACTAAACTGTACGTTTTTACCCTTTCGAACATGGTTCACTCATTAATTTTCTGCGAACACACCGCTCGCAACCAGACCTTCTTCTCAGATTATATTTTTGTCTTACTTAATTCCCTTTTTAACAAGCTATCACGCTCAATTCGGAGCTCATTTGCTCCGGTTATCGCCGTTTGAAGTTGGATAAGCAAAACAGCCAACCAACCCCAAAATAGCTATTTTGGGGTTGGTTGGCTGTTTTGCTTATCCAACTTCAAACGGCGATAACCGGAGCAAATGAGCTCCGAATTGAGCGTGTGATAGCTTGTTAAAAAGGGAATTAAGTAAGACAAAAATATAATCTGAGAAGAAGGTCTGGTTGCGAGCGGTGTGTTCGCAGAAAATTAATGAGTGAACCATGTTCGAAAGGGTAAAAACGTACAGTTTAGTAATTGGCTAAGTGGGTTTATGGGAACCCCTTAGTAACTTATATTGAGTAAAGTGTAATGTAAAAATAGTTAAAATAAATATTCTGCAAGAGTTAACAGTTATAGTCACAGCTTTTAATTATTACGCTTTTTATTGTTTTAAATGCTCGCGTAATAATCGGAAAAAGTTTATTCGCATTTTTATAAATGAATTGCTGTGATTGTAACTGCGCTTAATATCATATTAATGTTAACAATACTGGTGTACAACAGGTTGTTACATTCTATGGTATCAGAGCAGTTTTGTTAGGGAACTCTGATAATGTATAGTTGTGTTATGTGTTGCATAGTTGTATGTAGATTCTTATCGATTACTGCATATGTGATTCCTTAGTGTGGGTCTGATCAGCCCATTCCTTTGTATTACATGCGTAGTCATCGTAAGAAGCCTGCATGGCAACCCTGAAG